CTGCCTCTCGCGGCTGCGCTCTTGCTCCCCGACGCGAGCCCCGTCTCCTGTGCGCGCCCGGCACGGGCGCCCCTGCTCTCCGCAGGCTCCGCGGGGCCCGGGGCCAGCTGCCCTGTGCGCTGCCCCAGCGACGGGCACAGCGACCACCTCTGCTGACGGGCCCTGCTGGGCGGCGCAGCCCTCCCGGGAGCTGAGCGGGCACCCGGCCGCCTTGAGCTCCCCGCAGTGGGCGTGGAGCGAGCAGACCTGGCCCCGGGCTGGTGGGCTTTGGCCGGTCAGCGGCCAGGCGCCGGGTAGGGGCAGCAGTCCGGCTGGACGCCCGCCCCAAACGTAAACAGCAGACGGGGCAGACACTGGACGCTGGCCTCCAGGCCCCCAGGCTGAGGTCTCCAGCAGGCTAGACACGGTGTGACCCGGTGGCCGCGGCCCGAATGGGAGCCCAGGAGAGCTGCGACCCAGGAGTCACCCGGGGCAGTGGGGCGTCCCCCAGGGCTGGGAAAGCTGGACAGAGGCCTGGGGCTCTGCACTGCACCTGGGGTGGCGGCCAGGGCGTCTCCGCTCAACACTCCCAACCCAACAGGCGGCGCCTGCTGGTCCTCCAGCTGCCCACTGCGTCGTCCCCTCCCTCGGGCACCTGAGCTGTGCCCAGGACCGACTCCCACAGCCGGCCTCCGAGCTTCAGGCCTGCGGGGTGGGCAGCACCCGAGGGCAGCCGCGGTGTCTGAAGGCCGGGGGCCGCCGGCCAGCGACACGGCCACCTTCACCAGCCTCACCGGGCCCGTCCTGCCTGCGAGCGAGACCTAGCCGGGCAGGGCTCCCGGAAGTATCCGTGGAGGGGGCAGCGCCAGCGGACAGGGGCGCAGGGCAGTGCCGTGGCCCCACGCAGGGCCCAGAAAAGGCTCAAATCACTCGCGCAGGAAGTTGCCTCCTTTAGTAACGGCAAAGGCAGCCGCTTGGGGGCCAGGATCTCAGAGAATCAGAACTGCCTGCAGGCTGCCTGCGACTGGGGCCTGGGGGCCCGGAGGCCAGCGTCCAGTGTCTGCCCGAGGCCTTAGTGCCGTGTCCATCCAGAGCAGCTGCAGAAGTGGGAGTTGCTCTGGCCCTCGGGGTCAGCCTGACGCCCACGGCCCTCGGTGACCCTCCAGGCTTGTCCTTGGCAAAGCAGGGAGGGTACTGGGGCCTGCTGGCCTGCTGGGGGGGGGGTCACAGTTCAAGGCCTCCTGGCGAAGCTCCGGGGGGGCCTGCTGGTGGGTCGGGGCTCTGCCAGGTCACCTGCAGGAGCCGCTCTTGCACTGTCCAGTCATAGGTCAGCAAGCCCAGCGAGCCAAGGACGGTGGGCAGCCTCAGGATGGCTGGGCCAAGGCTGCCTTCCGGCTGGCACCCCCGGCCGGGTGCATCCAGCCCTGGACACCGGTTCCTGAGATGTGCAGCAGAGGGCAGCCTCGGTGGACCCACGCTCGAGCCCAGCCCAGGCGCGAGCTGAGGACGGCGCAAGGACGGAGGCCCCGGGCCGGAGGAGGGGACGTCGTCCTTCCTGCTGGGGCCTGGCAGGAAGAGCCGGCCCCGCGGGCGTCGGGGGAGGCTCCGAGGCAGGCTCGCCCGGCCAGCGGTCCGGAGACCACGCAGCCCGTCTCCTTTGTAACACGTCGTCGTCCCAAATGCAGCCCATGGGTCACGTGCTGACCCCTGGCCCACGGCGGAGTCAGGAGGGCCCAGGATGCTTGGTCCGAGGCACCGGGCCGGAAAGGGCACAGGGTCCCGCCGGAGCCCAGCACGGGTGCTCCCGAGGTGACAGGCGCCGGCCGCCCTGGGCAGGAGGCCACACGCACACCCCTGCCCGGCACCCATGTCCAGTGTCTGTCCCGCTGGGAGGGCCGGCACGGTCGCGCCTGACCGTCTCTGCCTCCCTGGTCTCGGTGGTCACTGTCCGGTGGGGTGTGGGCTGGCAGCGGGGAGTCAAGGTGGGGGTCAGCCGTCCCAGGCCAGCGCCCAGCAGCCCTCGGAAGCCGACACCTGGCAGCCCATCCTGAGCTTCCTTTGGTTTGGGGGACCCCGGAGGGGAGCGGGGTGGGGGCGGCGTCGCCTCGGGCCAGGAGGCTCAGTGCTGAGGCCTGGGGTCCTTGGGGACCAGGGGCTCCGAGTCGCCCCCCAGCGCGCGGCTGCTGGCCATGGCCGGGCTCTGCATGGCCTCCCGCTGGTGCTGCTTGGCCTTGTTGTACAGCAAGACGCCGGCGGTGACCAGGACGGTGCCGACGGCCGACAGGCTGGTGACTCTGTTGCCGAAGACGATGACGCTGAGCCAGATGGACAGGGCGTGCTTCACGGTGCTGGCCACGCTGCAGCAGAGGGAAGCGGGTCACGGCGCACCCCGCCGCTGCCCACCCGCCCTCCAGGGCGTCTGCCACGCGGGGGGGGGGGGACGTCCCGCTGCCCCGGCCGGCGCTCCAGGGCCGCCAGGGAGCTGACCCGCCAGGGGCGGCCCCGGCAGCACGGCGGCCACTGGGAGCCGTTCTCCGCCCAAGGTGTCGCTCGGGAAGCAGTGAAACAGAAAACCGCTCCTTTGAGAAGAAAACTTGCTGTTTTTAAACCACTGCTACCTTGACGAAAAGCAAGGTTTCGGGGCGCTGGAGAAGCCCCGTCTGCGAAGCTGCTCCCGAAGCGGGAGCTGCAGCGGCGGCGCC